AAAAAAAAGGGAGCTGGAGTCCAGCTCGGCAGAGGCTGAGCCTGACATGTGGCTTGTGACCTGCGATGGAAGGATGTCCTGCGTCACAAAACATGCGTGACCCTGAGGGAGAACAGGCCTTTCAGTGAGCTGGAAAACGACAGGCGCCCTAAAGCAGGGGCCCAGGCTTCAGAAACTCGTGGGCCAAAGACATCCTGGGGCAACTTTGATTTTGCCAGGTAAGGTGGTTTTAGAAGTACAAAACCCCAACTGCCAGTTAGTGGCACTATTATTATAAAAAGAGAAGGCGGTTTAACACTAGAGTAAGTGGGAGAACTCACAATCTCAAACCCGAGGACGGTCCTTTACATTGAAAAATTTAGCTGTTTGAAAACTTGATTACCTTCTAGCATTTTCTCAAGTCATTAGAGACGGATGAGGACTTACCATGGCCAACTTGTAAAGGCTGTGAAGAGTGATGGGAAGCCCTGCTCTGGGCTTGAGCGCCCTGGGACAGGACCTTGTTAACCAAAGGGTCCCGGTGCCCTGTGCAGGACCAGGCCCCGGGGGGCATCTTCTAAGTGCTTACTCACACAGTCAGTGAATCCGTCCTCACGTCACTGTTAACACCTTTTTTCTTGCAGCCTAACGCACCGCCTGTTTAATGTACTGCCGTGGAGGAGCCTACTGGTTGGTGCTGTATGTGGACACCAACACCCTTGGATGGCAGCAGTCCTCAGCAAGGGCAGCAGCCATCACTTAAATGCATGTTGGAGAGACGGCGTCCTATATGCAACCTCTTGTATATTCTGGTCACGAGGGAGCAAAATGAATGGGCAAATACGAAGTGGATGACCAGCTCTCAGACCAGACGGTAAGGGACTCTGGCACCAGGAAGGCTGTGGATGGAGGTCAGGGGCCCTGTCCCTCAGCGAGGGACAGCAGTGTCCACTGCTGGCCACATTTCACCCCTACTCCTGGCCCAGGCCCTGGGCGCTGCGAGCACAGGCTGGTCCCGATGCCTCTCGCCACCCTCAGTCTTGTCTTCTGCTCATCTTAGACCCACCTGGGCCTCTACGGGAGCAACTTGGGACAGATGCCCTGCAGCGTGGCCAGGCCCACCTGAAAGAGAAGGCTTCGAGTGCCCGGCCCCTGCTGGAGACCCTCATACTGCCACCCCAGCCCAACCCTACCTGCTCTTCAGTTCACCTCTGTGCCTTTGCACATGCTGTCCAGGCAAGCTGCCCCTCCCCCAGCCAGGGAAAGCTAGCTGCTCGGTGAGGCCTGGACTTCTGGGTTGTCCCTCTTTTCTGTCACCACTTTCTCCCTCCTTGGGCCTGCCTGTGGTGAAGGCCTTGGGGAACGTGGGGAAAGAAAGGTCAGGGAGCACCACTTCTCCCCCATGCTGCACCCAACCTCCAACCTCTCCATGGCTCCTTCTGCTTCTACCCGTTTCCACAGTGCGGGGGGGAAGGCAAACACCCAGATGAACGTGGACTTTCTTCTAAGATGCCAGTGCTGCAGATTCCATCCATCTGCCTGTCCATCCATCCATCCATCCATCCATAATCACCCATCTATTGTCTGCTTATCTACCCATCCATCACTCTATCTATGGTCTGTTCATCTATCCATCAGTCCACCCATTCATCTCTCCTGCGTCCAGTGTTAACTGAGCCTTGATGTTGTGCTGGGCCCTCCCAGGAGTGGGCCCATCAGGAAGTAGTGAGTTTCCAGTCCCCGAAAGTGTCCAGAAGGACACAGAGAAACGCTGGGGTGACCAGGAGCTGCAGCTGAATCACTTGTAGAAACCTGTTAAAAATGTGGACCCCGGCCCATCCCCAGACCTGTGGGATCAGAATCTCTGGGGCCAGCGCTCGGGACACGGCATCTCTCCCTAGCTCCGCGGAGATGCTGACACATGTCACAGTCTGGGGGGCTGCCCCCCCCCCCCCCCCCCCCCCACGGTCATGCTTTCAGATGCCAAGACACCTGCGGAGCAACCAAGCTTACGAAGTGTTAACTTAGGGAAATCTGGCCTGTCCCCGCTGGGCACTGGGTCCTCGTGCCCCCACCCCTGGGCCGATTCTCTAGATCTCTTGACCCCACCCATGAGCCTTAAAGTTGGGGTGCTCAGCTTGCGCCGGGTGAACACAGCACCTCTTCCTGCTTTGTCAGCTTTTCCTGGGAATAAGTCTGTAAGACCTGCTTTCTATACTGACAACAGATACTCAAACGTAACGAAGCATAATGCACAACTTGCGTGAGTTTTAAAGATAAAATGAGACACTTCAAGGAAATCCCAAGCTTGCGGCTGGCCCTGGAGGATACATCCCCAAGCCCCAAGGGAGTGGTGATTCTGGGGAAGACTGGGAGAAGCCAACAAGAGGAGGGGCCCTGAAGGCCACAGCCGACTGGGCCCCCAGTCCTGCCCCAGGGGCCCCTGGTCACTGCCAGCAAAGCAGCAGCGCAGACTCTGAGACACTCAGGCGGGCCCAAGCCCCCTTCCAGCAGCCTTCCCATTGGAGCCCCAGCCCTGCCAGATCCCAGCCGGCCCCCACCCTCACTCCTCGCAGTGGGGGACGGAGCTGGCGTATGAAACAGGAGCCTAACAAACCCCGACCTTCCCCGCGTCTTTGCCTAGAACTCCCGGATTTCAAACCGGGTGGATATCAGAGGAGAACGTGGGACCTCAAAGCGGAGGCTGATTAAAGGGGCCGCATCCCAGAGATGCGCCACTCCTGTCAAAACAAACTTTGCTGCGTCTGGAGATGCTTGCCGTGTTTGAAATGTGTTCATTAGATATGAAAAAGGCAAAGATTTCACATGAAGGAGACGCTGGCGTCTGTGGGCTGCACTTCTTCCCCACTCGGCAGTTTTAAAATGGCTGGAGAGATGGGGGTCCCCGCCTGACACCCACCCGCCAGGTGTGACTGGGGGCTGGGACCCCGTGTGCAATCGTGGTGGCAGAGGTGGGGACTGCATGGACTTGAGGCGGCACGCGCTTCAACCCCTCAGCAGGAGGGAACTGAAATTCTCTCTCCCAGCCT